AAACCTATTAGAGAACATGAAAAATTATTCTTTTTTGAGGATAGTGCATTATTAGCACCCACAATCGAATTTGTTAAATGACAAATGAATTTGTCATATCCCTTATTCTAAGAGGTAAAAAAGAGTACTTACGTTCTCATTCTTCATGCCAAACATATTTAGATGTAGTTGTTGAAGACGATTAGATAACAGTTCAATTCTTCTTAATGAAATCAAATGTTAGGGGATTCAAACCATAAAATAGTTTTTAAAAGGGGGTACCGATTATGTTATTGAAGAACATTGACCAAATATATGGATTGTGTAATGGTAAAAGATAAATCATTAAAGAGATGTGAAAGAACATTATCAACGTAATTGATGTTTCGAGAAATCGCGTTGGAGAAAAAGGTTTACATACCCTGAATAAAATTTGGTATCATCTGATAGAATTCTCAATATAATAGTCTTATGTTTTGCTATGACTATAAACAAAAGTCAATGTCAAACATTGTCCTTTGCTATATTATTTTTAATCAATTCGGGATTTACTCATGGTTAGCTTTATGTTACTGTTTCACGAGTAAAGAAAAAGACATGATTAAAAATATTGGTTCTAGATGAAAATAAAAACGCTTACAATGATACAAAAAATGTTGTGTACACTAAAGTCTTTCAAAAAATTTGGAATTAAAAAAGATTTTTTCGGGTACACTTTCAATTTTTCAAATATTATATTTTACTTTGTCATTGTTTTCCATTGATTAAAATTTGTGACAGAAATATATTTACTTGATTTTGGAATAAATATTTGATTGAAAAATTTCAAAATCGACAACAGTTTCGTTCGACCCCGTGCATCGCACGGGTCAAAGTACTAGTTTATATCTAAGACATGAGAATTCATCAAAATCTACTTTTTTAAAAAAATCTTTAAAAATCTATCAATTTTTTAATACCAATAATACCATCATATTTAGAAATATTATTTAAAGTTTGAATTGAATACACACAGATTTTAAATGACTTTTTAAATTACGAATTAAATACCTACGGATTTTCAAAATTCAAAAAAATCCACCAGAATCCTAATTGAATACACCCTCTAAAATTCTACGTTCTTCTATGCTACTAGTATTTCTCCGCTTTCCCGCCTGGGTAGCTTATATGACCTTGAGGAAAGAATGTTAAGTACAAAGTGTCAAGGTAGGTTTCTCGTTGAGGTAGTGTGGGAATGCACCAGATACATTACGGTCTTTCGAAGGACCAGACTAGCTAATATTATACCGTGATTTAGTTAATATATATTCATTGCAATGTAAAAAAAATTAAATTTAGTTGTTATTTTTATAACACATTTGGACCATAAAGTTGGTGTTCAAATGAGCAAATGTAAAAATTATAGTAAAATTTGCACTAAATATGATTAAAACATAAATTATTTCCTAATGTAAGACTTGAATTTTTTTTTCTAAATAGAACTTAGATGTCTAGTGGGAGGAATAATGTTCGGTGATGGGGGACATTTATTTGAATAATAACTAATGGATAATGACCAATATTATTACATTGGGAAATAAAAACATATGATCATATATTGAAAAAGTCATTATGTTTTAGTAATATTTAGATAAATTCATCAAAATTATATAGTACTCCGTATATTATTAGAATGAAATGCGAATAATATTTTGAAAGTGTTTTGCAAGTAAAATCTTGAATATTTATTGATAATTGGTTTTCCATCTTTATGGATTCCACAAGCTTGAATGCCACAAGTGAAGGGAATGACATCGCCGGAGACCCCTAACATGCAAATAAGGCATGAAACATAAGATAGATGACATACAAATATGAAAGAGGGAGTCCCACGTTCCCATTCACCCCTCCTTATATTCTACTCCCTTCGTCCCATAAATTCATTTCCGTTTTAAAAAAATTGCGTCTCTTAAAGTCATTCCCATTTCTATTAAAAAAACATTTTTACCTCTTACTTTTTCATACTCTACCTATCACATCATACATTTTTTCTTAATAATCTACACATCACACCATACTTTTACCCATCACATCAAGGGAGTATTTTTGAAAAGTCAACAAAAAATTATCCCTCCTTATTTTACAACTTTAGTCAAACCGTCCCTATCTTTATGGGACGGAGGGAGTAATTTGTAGGATATTTATCATCAATTCGGATTCGTCTACTTCAGTTGTCTCAATTCCATTTTTGATTGATTCTGCTAGTAAGATCAAAAATAAAAACCCAACCGAATAACCTAATGATGCTTTCTACTAACAAGAATAATTTCTAAAAATGTTCTTCTCTAATAAGGTGTTTTCTCAGATCAGTCCTTAATAAGTTTTAATTACTTATGTGGTCCTCTATAATTGAGATTTATTCTACTAGATAGTCCTTTGTAAATAATGTTTCTCACTTGATGTTGAATTGAAGGATATTTTAGTACTCCCTCCGTCCCAAATTATAATGCCTGTTTACTATTCACAGGGTCAAACTTCATTCACTTTCTTTCTCTATTTTCGTTAGCAATTTGATAAAATAAAATATTATTGTCACTACTAGTTTTGTAGATCTTTTGATTTAGTTTTTTAATATGTAATTTTTATTTTTTAATTCTATACCATTTTCATATAAAATGGTTTACAAATAATTTCAGTCAAACATCGTAAACCGAAATAGGCGTTATGAAATGGGACGGAGGTAGTATTTTTTATTAGCTAAGTTTAGAATAAGTTCTTAAAATGATCATTTCTAATGAAGTGCTTTCCAATATGATTTTTTCTAATTAAAGATGCATATTGATTCAAATTTTAAAATATTTTTTTATAGGTTTTTAATGATTTAATTATACATTGTGGTGAGTTGGAGTAGTTTTGGTCCTCTTTTGGCCTTTAAGCGTAAAACTTATGAGTTTTGATTTTTTTATATATGAACTTTTTTCAGTGTTCGGTAAAAATTTTGATATCAAATTAGATATCTCTAGATATCACAAACCTTTTAATATTAGGGGTTAAATTTTGACATCTCACTCAACCATCGACTACTTCTCGCTACCAGCAACTAGTGTCACCACCATCTACCCTTGTAATCTTGTTTAGTTGTTTTCGACCACTCAAATATCACTAATTAAATCATAATTTCAAATCTATATAAATTATTTCACATTTCATAAGCTATGTGTAAAATCAAAGGGAAAAAATATTATTTAGGGAAGTAGCAGAGGAAGTATAAAAACTTACTCTTTTCGTCCTATAAAATTTTTTATACTTTCTTTTTTTGAATGTCCCAAAATATAATACCTTACACTTACTTTATTTTCTTTTTTGTAATGCATACTCCCTCCCTCCTATAACAAGCTTCCACCTTTGACTTGACACGAAGAATGAGAAAAATAAAATTTTGTAGTTGAAAGTGATGCATATGAGAATTGAAATAAATGATAAAGACCACAAATCATTTATAGAAGCGGAAGATCTCTTTGGGATGAATGAAAAAGAAAACGTAAAATCTTTTTAGGGTTAAATATGCTTTTAATCCTTGTAAAATAGTTAGTTTTTGTTTTTGGTCCTGTAAAAAGAATTTGTTAACTCATCCTTAAAAAAATTTTATATTGAAAATGGTCGTTAAATGTAGTTAGCACTTCTAATTTGTTGACAGAACATATTTATTTTAATTTGTACTCAACATTCTAATCATGTATTTTAAATTATCTCAGACATAATTCTCATGTCATTGATCGTGTTCTTCATCAAATTATATCTCCAATTTCTAAATGATGTTATATTAGATTTCTAAAATATTTGAGAATTGGTGATGTTATATGAATAAAGACACAATTTAATGCATGAGAATTGTGTTGGAGGTAGTAAAAATACAAGACTAGAATGTTTAGTAGAGTATGAAATAAGTGTGTTTTATCAACAACAGATTAGAAGCACAAATAATTTTAAGGTCCATTTTCAAAATAATTTTTTTTTGTAAAGACGACTTAACCGTTTTTTGTAGAAGCCACAAATAGAAATTTTTTATTTTATAAGAAATAAAAATATATTTAACCCATCTTTTTATACTTTCTTCGGTCCTAAAAACATATGAGTTATTGGTTTTTAAGAGATTTAGGAGAAGTCTATTTTGGTATTGAATTTCCAAAAAATCCTTTGATGTGATGAGTAAAAGTAGGATTTGATGGGTAGGTTATTAGTAAAAAGTTAAAGGTATGATGTGATAGGTAGTGTATGAAAAAGTAATGGGTAAAAGTAAAGAAGTGTTTTTTGGGACGGATGAAAAAAAGAAAGGAGAAAAGTTTTCATGTACAAATGGAGTAGAATAAAGGGAGTATGTGGCTACCAATAAATTCGGGAAAAAATAGCACTAAAACTTAAGTCATTTCCCTAAATAGTACTTAAAATATTTTATTCTCTAAATAGCACTTAATAATGTCCAGTGATGGCAAACATTTACTGGAATAATGACTAATGGATAATGATTAAAAGTGCTACATTGGAAAAAAAATGTGACGCTATTTAGATAAAGTCATTATTTTTAGTGTTATTTAAATAAATTTGCTTAAATTCTAACCACACATTTTTTTACTTTTTACTCGGTAATAACTTTTTTAAACACCTTAAATTAAAATTAGCTAGTAATGGAACGGATGTATAGTGTGATCTTTTTGGTAAAAAGCATTTGTGGAATGGATGTACAGTGTGATCCATTTGCTCTATGATGCTCTCCTCGGATAAGCTCTCTCTATATATAGACTGCACACTTAGAACGTGGTTTGCTCTCCACAGTCCACACCCAACACAAAACAACAAAAACCCACCAGCGAGCAAATCAAGAATGATGAACTTTTCTTACCATAATACCCCTCTCCCCATCCTCCTCCTCCTTCTCCTCCTCCTATTTGCAGCACCAATAACAGCCGCTGCATCTCACAATAAGTCGTCGTCCCACTCTCTGTTCCGGGAATACATCGGCGCCGAGTTCAAGAACGTCAAGCTCTCCGACGTGCCCGTAAACCCGAACGTCGACCACTTCCACTTCATCCTCTCCTTCGCCATCGACTACACCACCTCCTCCTCCTCCCCCTCTCCCACCAACGGCAAATTCAACGTCTTCTGGGACTCCGAAAATCTCTCCCCCTCCCGCGTCTCCGCCGTCAAGTCCAAACACCGCAACGTCAAGGTCGCCGTGAGCCTTGGCGGCGACACCGTGGGGAAAGGAAACCCGGCCCGCTTCGCCCCCACATCGATCACCTCTTGGGTCTCAAATGCAGTAACATCCCTCACACGCCTTTCCAGGTGATACAAATTAATAACAATCAGTCTTATTGAATAATATGTGAATTTGCACTAAATTATAACACTATGTTGGGGAAGCACGGAACAAAACACAACAGAAGCAATATAAAATCTTTTCCCCAAATTAATGAGATGAATAACAAGCACAATAAACTCTGAAAAAATCAGCAGCACACACACAAATAAATGGCAGCGATAATAAAGTAGATGACACACGATTTACGTGGAAACCCCAAATCGGGGAGAAAACCACGGCCGCTCAACAACGGCTCCCAAACTTCCACTAATCACCAAGAATCAAGTGGGTACAACAAGTTCTCCTCTCTAGTAAACACTAGAGGCATACACAATCATCAAGGAGCAACCTTGGAACAACAACAATCAACAATTCACCATAAAATGGAGTAAAAACTCCCAAAAACGCAGGTCTGAAAACGCAGCTAGAAAACAACCTTCCGGGCATCAAAATGAAAATATGACCGTTGGATTTGAAGAGGAGTATGTGAGGAACAACATACTAAAATTTGAGTACGATCCGACTTCGTTTGGCCTTCGATCCGGAGGTGAAAAGTTGCTACTGTAGAGAGTGGCGGAAATCTTCTATTTCTTCCTTTTCCCTGCGTTTTGCTACTGCCACACCGTTGCTTCTCTCTTCATACTCCCTTATCTCTTTTCTTTTTTTTTTCTTTAGTTAGTATCCACACACAACATAAGAGAATGGGCCACTAAAAAACACAATTGGGCTAAAACTTTACACACAAAAATAAGCACAAATATAAAAGAGATATTTAAAGCGTTGTCCAATTAAAAATTGGACACTTCCTCCATGTAGGAGGGATATTTCCCAACACACTAAAACATGTCTTTTCTCAATCTAACAATTAAACTTTTTAATTTTTTAAATAGTACGTGAATAATGTCTAGTAGCGGGAACAATGTCCAGTGATGGTGTACATTTGGTTTGAACAATATCCAATCACGGTGAACATTTATTTGAACAACAATGACCAGTGGATATTGAACAGTACTACGAATACTACTACATTGGGAAGAGTAAATTTCCATAATAATATTGTATTTCCTATAATTATCAGGCACTACCATCTGGATGGGATCGACATCGACTACGAGCACTTCAATTCAGACCCGGAGACGTTCGCGGAGTGCATCGGGAGGCTAATCACCGTCCTGAAGGAGAACAGAGTGATCTCCTTCGCCTCCATTGCCCCGTTTGACGACCCCGGGGTCCAGAAACACTACACGGCGCTGTGGAAGCGGTACGGTCATGTTATAGACTATGTGAACTTCCAGTTCTACGCCTACGACAAGGGGACGACGGTGTCGCAGTTCTTGCGCCATTTTGATGAGCAGAGGGAGAGGTACAGAGGGGGCAGAGTGCTGGCGAGCTTCCTCAGCGGCGGGGGCGGCGGGCTGTCGCCGGAGAAAGGGTTCTTTGCGGCTTGCAAGAAGCTGAAGAGTGAGGGGAAACTTGGGGGCATATTTGTTTGGTGTGCCGATGAGTCCAAATCCAAGGGGTTCAAGTATGAGAAGAGGGCTCAGGCTTTGCTTGCAAAACCAACTTCACTCTAATTAAAGCTTGGCTCTTAGTCGGTGGTGAATTGGTGATTGTCAATTATAAGTCTATCTTTATTTTTAATCTTTTTTTTCTTTTATTCAAATAAATGCCCGCTTGGTCAAATAAATAAAAAGAAAACTATGCAACTATTGGAGGGTTAACAAAAATCTTTGGGTGATACGGATTAATAAATATCAGATATAAATTAAGAAAAAAAAGACTAAAATAAGAATAAAACATTAAACTAAATTAGAGGTTTTTTGTTTTTATTCTCGAAATAGGAGCTTAAATATACATACAGTGCCATTAATGACCATATACATTACAAACAAGGTATTGTAAAATATTCATACGCACCGTTACATTATTATAATGTAAACTTTGATTTTGAGGATAAACATAGAGTTTGATATGTAATTTATGTTTTAGTTTTAGAGTGATGCTTATTCTCACATTTTTCATGAACCTGCATGTTGATACTTTCTTTTTTGTAATATGCCGACTTTTTTAATTCTACAAATGCACTAAAATCCATAAAATGAATCCATAAAATGAGGAGAGAAGAATTTGCCTTAGTTTTTTTAATCCTTCCCAAATGAAAATCCCCTGATACATATTCTACACCCGAAAAGTGAAAACCAATCGATCATGAAGATGTGTCGTGCCTCACCAGCGCTGGCGATGGGGCATTCTCGTACGTGTCTGCAAAGCTGCGAGTACGGTCGAATCACAAAACTAAACCACTAGGAAGGCTGTCGTCCCTCAGGTGGTGAATGCGTGGTTCATCATCGGAGACACCCCCGCCGGGCCAAAAATGTCTGAGATCTTCGGTAATGGTAGAATTTGTGAACTAAACTCGTTGGTGATTTCATTAACACGGGAAAGTATTTATACAAGCATACAAATTACGGGCCCAATATGACTAGCCCAATACAAATATAAACAATACAAATATACAATATGTTCAATATGCTAACACTCCCCCTCAAATTGGAGCATGAAGATAAAAATGCCCAACTTGGATAGAAGAGAACAAAAAAGCGGAGCCAGAAGCGCCTTTGTGAAGATGTCTGCGGTCTATAGCCTCGTGGGAACATAGGCGGTTACAATATGAGCATGTTGAAGACACTCGCGGACAATATGATAATTAATGTCGATGTGTTTGGAGCGCTCATGAAATACTGGGTTAGCCGCAATGAAGAGTTCAGACTTGTTGTCGCAGTATAACTTCGGAGTTGCGACACAGGGAACGGATAGAGCAGTGAGTAAACCTCTAAGCCACCGTATTTCGGCGCATGCATTGGCCATGGCGCAGTATTCAGCCTCTGCTGACGATTGAGAAACTGTAGTCTGCTTTTTGGTTCTCCAAGAGATAGGGGAACCAATAAGAAGGGCAAAATAACCTATCACGGACCGTCGGGTGATGGGGAAACTCGCCTAATCCGAATCGGAGAACGCTGTTAAGGCCAGATCACTATCACTTCTCAATAAAATACCTTGACCACGATGCCCCTTGAGATAACAAATGACACGTAGGGTGGCATTCCAATGGTCCAACCTTGGTACCTGCATAAACTGAGACAAAGCATGAACACCATAGCGTATATCAGATTATGCTTGTAATAGTCATGTACAATAGATGCCCAACAAGACGATGATGTTTGGCAGGATCCTGGAGCTCAACACTGATGGAGCGTGCAAGGTTATGGGCACTCGGTAATGAAGTCTCAACAGGCTTGCAACCTGACAGATTATGCTCCTGAAAAATATCAAGGGTATATTTACGCTGATTGAGAACCATACCAGAGGAAGAGCGGGCACATTTAATACCCAAAAAATAAGAAACTGGTCTGAGATCCTTAAACTAAAAACATTCATGCAAATATTGATAATGTATAGAACCGAACCAAAACCAAAAATGTATAGAACCGAATCAAATCGGAACTGAAATTATACCGATCCAAACCAAACCGAACATATTATAACATATATCCGAAAGATATTTGAACTGAAACAATCCAATCCGGAACCGATCCAATCGACCTGATTGCCATCTCTAGTTATCTAAGAGTTTCTCCTTATTTCCCAAAAATTGTTCCCCATATTTTTCATTCCTCCAAAACAATTGACTTTCCATTTCAAAATATATTTGTGGTCATTATAATTTCTTTCTTTTACATCACATTCAAACACATAATTTTATTTTTCCTTAATCTCCTCTCAAGTCAAAGGCGAAACCTTTTATTACGACGAATTACAAAGTATTATCATAAAACTTTAAGGACAAATTAAGAAATGGGCGTTGCTATATCCACTCTCATTTAGACTATATTCACTTCATTCATGCTAAATTGATAATTTTAACCTCAAAAATACAAAAGAGAAAATTTTGATGCAAGTCCACTTTTAATTACAATTTGTTTTGCACCAAAATTGTTTATTTAATTCGGATATAACAATACCCTTAAGGGTGGAAGGTATATATACCTTCCATACTTTTTTTTACTGCATCCTCTCTCTGCTCTACATCAGATTCCACTTATTTCATACTTTTGTTACTACAACTGCGGGTATACATACGTCAATTTACTACAACTATTTTTTTAAATATTTGACTTTAATTAATAGTATAAATATTAGTATAAATTAATTTTAAAATAATTTTTTAATAATTAACTTTAGAAAATTTATATGTTAAATTTAAAATATCTTTATCAAAATGTAACGCATTTTGATACTATGATTTAATAATATATTTCCTTCCAAAAATATTTTAAAATATCTTTTAAAAAACTTAGACAAACACTACCATTTTTTTAATATTTAACTTCAACAAATAATATAAATCAAATTAATACTTTTATCTAAATATCACGATAAGATTTCATTGATTTAAACGAAACAACAATATTACATAAAAGAGAATACCAACCGCAAAACAATTTAACAAAAAAATTAAAAACAACAATACCACATAGAAGAAAATACCAATCCAAAATAGAAAAAAACTTAAACACAACAGTATTAGAAAAAAAGGCGGAGTAAATTATAAGAAACTAGGCATGATTTTAAAAATTAAATGAGTTTAAAACAAGGTTCAAAAAACGGGTGTGATTTGATTTAAATAATTAAATGGATATAAAACTTGTATTTATTAGTTGGGAACAGTAATATTACTATTAGATGATCGGAAAAACAATAGTCTAGTTTACCGATTGAATTTGGTACCAAAAGGTAAGGGGTAGTTTTACCCTCTTTGCCAGAATGACACATCAGCTTGTTATGGTACTAAATTTGTTAGATTTATTTCAACAAAACACTTGTCACTTGAAAATAATTCTCTGACATAAGTATTCATTGAAATACGATTCAGCATTAATTTTAAATACTAGAATCACTCGGCAAATACTTTTTAGCCCAAGAGCATTACTATAATTATCCAAATAGAAGGTCACATGTTTGCAACCCAAGGTTGATTCTTTGTTTTTTAGTTGATAGTGAAACTATATTTGAAGAGATATTGCAAAACATATTAGAACCAATCTTTACTAAAGAGAACAAATTTCACAAAAACGTTTATAATCTCACATTATTTTTTTAAATTTAATTGTTACATACTCCGTAATACATCAAATTTTATTAATCCCGGACATAATGATATTAAGGTTGACATGATGAGTGTCTCAAACAGAATAAACCTTTCACCTAAAATTATTGTATGTACAAAAAAAAAAACACACGTTCCTTAGCTTGCTCTGTGATCTTTCATGTTTCTCACCTATTCTTGCTTGCTTCCCTTCCAATCAAACCTATATGAGGACCCTTTAACAACCATAATGTACTAGTTGGTGGCGCCATCATCATAATCTATATTCACTCTCCCTTTTGCTTCAACCCTGCATTGACATGCACATTTCACTCTCCACAACAACTACAAAACAATAAATAAACAAACAAATGAAAATCTCCTTGGTCAGCTTATTTTCTTAACAACCCAATAATATACAATAAATAGCTTCACATTGCATCACTAACCATCGGACACTCCGGGTTCTTGTCGTCATGGCAGCTGCTTTCTTCACCGGCCCTCATTTGCATGCCACAGACAACAATGACCAACAGGTGACCTGCTTTAAATTGCTCCCCAAACCCCCTGCCTAATTACACCATCAGGTACAATTAAACACAAGGTTTTTTTTAATGTGCAATAACAGCCACGGCGTGAAGAGAGAGGTGGAGGGGATAAGATATGCCGGGTATGTGAAGACGAGATAGGTGTGATGGACAATGGACAAGTCTTTGTGGCGTGCAATGAGTGCCGTTTCCCTGTGTGTAAGCCATGTTACGAGTACGAGAGAAGCGAAGGCAACCAGTGTTGCCCCCGTTGCAACACTCGTTATAAACGCCACAAAGGTACATAAGTGTGGAGTACTATTTTCCCTCTTCTCCTTGAAAGGGGAGAGAAAAACAATACTTTTCAAGTACAAAACCTCTTCTGAAAAAGGAAAGATGAGATTCAGCGTTGATGCATATATTATACGTATACGAATGCAATTAAGGAGTTAATAAATTTGAGGTGCATATGTTACAGGTTGTCCTAGAGTTGTGGGGGACGATGAAGATCATTTTGAGGGGGAAGAATTCGACCAAGAATTTCAGACGGCGAAGAATCATCCTCACTCGGTTGCTCTCAACACATACACTTCTATTTCATCCACTAACATACATGTATTTATATTTGATCATCACTGCATCATGTGTCTTGGGGTCCTAACTGATCTGACGAACCTAAGATTTCATATTGGCAGGAGAATGGAGACTACCATAATAATCAGCTGCATCACAATGGCGGCGCTTTTCAACTCATTGCAGGAAGTGGTAAAGCTTAATTATTTTTATCTTCTAAAGGTTTCAGATTCTGAGGAATGCATATGTACCCTGTCATCAATTGATCTTTAAGACCCACTGCACCACAACCAGTTACAACTTCATTGGAAATAAATTGATAACTTTAAAATGTATGCATATATGTATGCACTATGCACTTATGCAGTGGCTGGCAAAGATTTGGAAGACGATCATCATCAGGAGGTTTTCACTAATGACGAATGGAGAGACAGAATTGAGAAATGGAAGACGAAGCAAGAAAAGAAGGGCCTGCAGATCATCAGGTTTGGTGATGATAAAGACGATGAAGATGGAGACGACTTTCTGTAAGATTTCCCATTCTCCAATCTAAGGTTTAGTCATCATGAAATCATACATTCACATGATATTTGAATAATTTGATCTCTTGATGACCAGCATGGCAGAAGCTAGGCAGCCACTGTGGAGAAAAATCCCAATTTCATCTAGCCTGATCAGTCCATACAGGATTGTCATTGTGCTCAGGCTAATCATTCTCTGTTTCTTCTTCCACTTCCGCATTTCGACCCCAGCCTATGATGCCTTCCCTTTATGGATCATCTCAGTGATATGTGAGATTTGGTTTGGGTTATCGTGGATTCTTGACCAGTTCCCAAAATGGTTCCCTATAAACCGCGAAACTTACCTGGATCGCCTGTCATTGAGGTTCGAACGCGAGGGCGAACCAAACACTGCACTAGCACCGGTGGATGTTTATGTCAGTACAGTTGACCCACTTAAGGAACCTCCCATCATCACTGCCAATACTGTTCTGTCCATATTGGCTGTTGATTATCCTGTGGAAAAGGTCAGCTGCTATGTATCAGATGATGGTGCTTCAATGCTTCTTTTCGATACCTTAGCAGAAACTGCTGAGTTTGCAAGGAGGTGGGTACCGTTCTGTAAGAAGTATAGCATCGAGCCAAGAGCTCCAGAATTCTACTTCAATCTGAAAATTGACTACTTGAGAGATAAAGTTCAGCCGACCTTTGTCAAGGAGCGCCGAGCAATGAAGGTAACTAAGATTCTTAAATACATGGTTAGTTTTCCATTTATGTTGGAGGGTGTCTCAAATCATCTAAAATCTAAATATGAATAAGAAAATATCTTATCATCTCTTGATATCTCTCTACATGTTAAGTTAGATCATACATATGAATGCATGCCCAGCCTTATTCTTAAAATGTTAGATCTAATGTGGCTATCAAGTGAAGATCAACATTGAAAGTATAACCATATGTGACAGAGAGAGTACGAAGAATACAAAGTAAGAATAAATGCATTAGTGGCAAAGGCACAGAAGAAGCCAGATGAGGGGTGGGTTATGCAAGATGGAACTCCATGGCCTGGGAACAACACTAGGGACCATCCTGGAATGATTCAGGTTTATCTCGGAAATGAGGGTGCTCTTGATGTGGAAGGGAAGGAGCTTCCAAGACTTGTGTACGTTTCACGTGAAAAGCGACCTGGATATCAGCATCACAAAAAAGCTGGTGCCATGAATGCTCTGGTAAGTATTAAGACTTGGGATTGATTCCTTCATAGGCCAACATAATAGGAAGATTGCCCAATGTCTTACATGCTAGTTTGTAAATTTTATAATTTGTCTGATGCAGAATGACTTAAAGTACTTTTTCCACTAATTACAATTTCAAAATTGAAATATCATACTCCCTATTTCATTCATCCCTATCAGTTGCACTAACTTATAAGTTTTCTCGCATAATCTGAAATTCAGGTTCGTGTATCAGCAGTTCTAACCAATGCACCCTTTATGTTGAATCTGGATTGTGATCATTACATCAATAACAGCAAGGCCATTAGAGAAGCAATGTGCTTCTTAATGGACCCCCAGTTAGGAAAGAAGCTCTGCTATGTGCAGTTCCCTCAGAGGTTTGATGGCATCGATCGCCATGATCGATATGCTAACCGCAATGTTGTCTTCTTTGATGTAAGAAACTACCCAGTCCATTCTATAACAGATGCATAGAAAATTTAAGATGTAAAATGTAACTTTTTTTTGGTAACCTAAGATAATGTAACCTTAACTATATATCTTGGGGTGGTGACAGATCAATATGAAAGGATTAGATGGAATTCAGGGACCTGTATATGTTGGGACTGGTTGTGTTTTCAACAGGCAGGCTTTGTACGGTTATGATCCACCTGCTTCTGAGAAGCGGCCTAAGATGACATGTGACTGTTTTCCCAAATGGTGCTGCTGCTGTTGTGGTGGTTCAAGAAAAACCAAGTCTAAGAAAAAAGGGCTCAAGGCTTTGTTAGGACTTGGAAAGATGTTTAGTAAGAGCCAGAAAATCAGGGGAAAGAACTACAATAAGAAATCATCTGGACAGTTGTTTGATCTTGAGGAAATTGAGGAGGGTCTAGAGGGGTATGACGAGCTCGAAAAATCATCCCTTATGTCCCAAAAGAACTTTGAGAAAAGGTTCGGACAGTCTCCGGTTTTCATCACTTCCACACTGATGGAAGATGGTGGCCTTCCTAAAGGGATGAACCCAACAACACTAATCAAAGAAGCCATTCATGTCATCAGTTGCGGGTACGAAGAGAAGACTGAGTGGGGCAAAGAGGCAAGACTATATAATGTTCAATATAAGTGCAGCATTGATCCTTACACTCCAAAATTCAACTGCTTCTAACCATTTAATCCTCTTTCTTTCTTTTTTTTTTCTGCAGATTGGATGGATTTATGGTTCGGTGACAGAAGATATATTAACAGGGTTTAAGATGCACTGCAGAGGGTGGAGGTCAGTGTACTGCTGCCCGAAGAGGGCAGCTTTTAAGGGATCAGCTCCTATAAATCTATCAGATAGGCTGCACCAAGTCCTGAGATGGGCTCTTGGTTCCGTTGAGATCTTCCTTAGTCGACATTGCCCGCTGTGGTATGCCTGGGGTGGCAAAATGAAACTACTAGAAAGGCTTGCTTACATTAACACCATTGTTTACCCTTTCACTTCCATTGCTCTCCTGGCTTACTGCACTCTTCCAGCTGTCTGCCTTCTCACTGGAAAATTCATTGTCCCAACCGTAAGTATTACACGGAATGCTATTTTTTTGGTCAGCAAGGCATTGACATCGGCTAAAACACTAAAATACAAAATAATTTCTCTACCTCTTGCTTGTTTTTGATTTTACAGTTGAACAGCTTCGCTAGCATATGGTTCTTGGCACTATTCATGTCCATCATAGTGACAGGTGTTCTTGAACTACGGTGGAGCGGAGTGAGCATAGAGGACTGGTGGAGAAACGAGCAGTTCTGGGTGATCGGTGGTGTCTCAGCACATCTCTTTGCAGTCTTCCAAGGCCTTCTCAAAGTGCTTGCCGGTGTAGACACAAACTTCACAGTGACAGCAAAGGCTGCCGATGACGCCGAGTTTGGGGAGCTCTACCTCTTCAAGTGGACCACTCTTCTCATCCCACCAACCACTCTCATTATATTGAACATAGTCGGTGTTGTGGCTGGTGTCTCGGGTGCCATCAACAACGGCTACGGATCGTGGGGTCCGCTCTTTGGAAAGCTCTTCTTCGCCTTTTGGGTCATTGTTCATCTCTACCCATTCCTCAAGGGGCTTATGGGAAGACAGAACAGGACTCCTACCATTGTTGTCCTCTGGTCAATCCTTCTCGCATCAATCTTCTCACTTGTTTGGGTCAGAATTGATCCCTTCTTGCCCAAACAGACAGGCCCTATACTCAAACAGTGTGGGGTAGAGTGCTAATTTCCCTTCTTGTATCTCTGCTATAGAATTTTTTTTAAAGTCAATTTTGCTAGATATTTCTGCTAGCAATAAGAAAAGGGAAGCTCTGGTATCAAATTTGTTGAAATATAAGAAATCATATAGTCATACAAATTTCTTGTCTTCAAAGGTTTGTATCTAAAAATCATTACAACAGAGGAGTAATACATTTCAGTCAATCATAACTAATATGTGTGAAATAATGGTAATTTTAACAAGAAGAAAAACTTACCCCTGAGCCCAAATTCACATGTCCTTCGATCTTTGAGAATGGATTCTGGGATTTCTAGCATTAGCAAACATCTTGTTGCCAATGTTTTATGAACTGGTCTTTTGCAAAAAGAGTCGTACAAAAGCTGAAATGGCCATTGTGAGCCCTCATCCACCGAAAATGCGTCCATCTGGGTGGCCTGAGGGAGAGGGAACACAGCCCCTATTTGCTTGACCAGCAATCCGTTCCACTTATTTTTTTACTTATTACTCCGTATTCATTTTATTAAAATCAGATTAGATTAGGTCAGATCCAATATTATTAATATTAGTATTGTTGTATTATTATTATTTATTACTATTACTATGATTACAATTATTATTATTATTATTACTACTATTATTATTACTATTAATATTATTATTAATATCATAATTAATATTATTAATATTAAAAATATTATTTTTACTATTATTATTAATATTATTACTACTAATATTAATAATAATATGATTGTAATTATTGTTACTATTGTTATTATTACTATTTCTATTACTCTTACTAGTATATTATTATTAATATTTACATTATTATTATTATCATTTCTATTATTATTATTATTACTATACTAATAATTTTATTATAACTATTATTATTGTTATTACTATTATTATAAATATTTTTGTTTTTATAATAATTATTATTTCTATTATTATTATTATTACTATCATTATTAATGTTTCTTTTATAATCATTACTATTATTATAGCTATTATAATAATAATTTTAAAATTATTATATCCAATCAAATCAGATGAGACTAGATATAATCAGATCACATAAGATTCAATCAGATCAGAACTTCAAAAAATAAGATCAGATCAGGCGAATGCAACGCAGTATAATTCTTTTACTTTATTCTTTTCATTTAATTTTTTGTATTGTAATGTCTATTTTGTCCATAAGTTTTTGTATGTAAATCATTATGTCTTTAGACCATGGGATATACATCCCATCTTCCTCTTTTGTCAACTTAACATTATGTCACTTTCAGCTTTTGCTTTTCTTTCCTTTTTCTTGTCAAGGGTGTGCATCCCCTTCCCTTTTTATAATCAGAGACACATAAGTATTTATTGTAAAACGAGTTAAAAAACTCAAAAACCTTATATTGTGTCTTGAGTTTGAATATGAGGTTTCTGCCAGGGGCGGAGCAAGGGGAGGGGCCGCCGGGGCAAGTTCCCCCCGATGAACTTCCGGTGAAGAGAGGATGATCACGTGTTGAAGTCTCTGGTGATGAAAGTGCCCCCACAACGAAGACGACGGCCTGCAAGGGTTTGCTACTTTCCAGGATTTAATGTGTTATATTTTGGAATCTTTATATTTTAAAAAACTGAAACAAAACGACGCCATATTGATTAGGAATCTAAACCCTTATTGGTTTCTTTTCTTTTTGTTGACTCACCGTCTACCAAAATATTTGTTGACTAATTTTTAGGTGTTATCCAAAGCTTTGTTTGCTAATCCATATTTGGTGATGATTATGGGATACTTTTTACTACCGAGTATTTAAGTATCAGATTATGATACTTGATGCTTATTACTATAAAACTAACTTGTTATCTGTTAAATTGAAATTCGGGTTTAATTTTTTAAAGTCAAGATTTTGAAAAAATTTAAATTAGCATATGCAATAATAAATTAAATAATACTCTCTTTTTCCCAAAATTATCTTCTTTCTTAACTATTCTGAAATCACAGAAATTTTTGTTTATTTGTATGTTTTCATTGATTATTTGATAAAATAAAATATTTTTGTAACCACTCATGTTGTAAAAGATTTGACGTACTCCGTAGTTTTTGAACATGTTATTTTGATTTTTATTTACGTATCGATCTTTAAATAAAATAAATTGAAAAATTTTTAAATCTTACTTCGTTTTGTGAGCTATCATTTTTGGTTATTTTTTGGCATAATTCGAATAACATTTGTTTGTAATTTCATTTTAAAAAAATATGACGCTATCCTCCAACCCCGTAGTGTACTATTGTGCCCCCTCAAAGGTCCGCCCCTGGCTCCGCCACTGGTTTCTGCTAGCTTTGAGTTGGTAGGATGGAGCTTCAAAACTGTTGATGACTAACCTAGAGCCACTGAAGACGTAAGAATCTTTCTTATCCTCTAGATCTGGGTCGCAGAATGGCCATCAGCTTCTTCGATTGTGAGGTTCACTTTTCCTAACAGATGTTCCGCCTGTTGGCAATAGGTCGCTGGGAGCGTTGGAGGTTGATAAAACCAATGTCCTTGTGACTAAAATGGCGATGATGATTTGATCGACGGGAAAGAAAATCGCCGCTTCTATATATATATAAAATACTTAAAAAATTCTTTTTGGTGCCCCTTAAATTCTTGGGCCCGGCCTGGATGGACACTTTGTCCCCCTATTGGGCCGACCCTATTTGTTTAGGATGAATGTGTATATAAGAGCACAAACAATGGCAAGTAAAGATTTAGAATGCCACACAATGACATGACATATTTCAACCAATTGAAACAGGTCCAGTCATAGAGTGGCAAGTGAGTGGAGAGGCAAGTCCTACAATGGCAAGTCATTACTTTTTTATTTTTAAATTTTTTTTTGATGTAATTAACTAATAAAAATTAGTTTTCTCATCTCTTTTAACATACAAATACTACGTATTTCTATTACTTTCATAGAAAAAACTTTTTTTTAATATAAAAATAGAAATTGAAACTAAAAATAAAAAATATTTCATATTGGATAATCAAATTAACAAATTTAAAAATCATAATACAAATTAAACAAAATAAATCAAAAACATTGATGGTGTAAATGTAGCTGGGTGGGTTAACCGGGTTTGACCTGGACACACTCGACCCGTAATATAAAACACACAACAAGAACACAAAGTATGACCTAGACCGGGTAAATCTCCTCAGTCCGAATTATATTTCTTACTCTATCTCTTTGCCAAGTAAGTCCTCCAGTCCTCCTAGTCTTTTAATTTTTCCATCTTTCCATTTTTGACCGGTAGGCCTAGGTCATGTCTTCTGATAGCCAAAACATATCTGGCCAATCCTATGGATCTGGCTCTCAGCCCTCCTCCTCTTCCCACTCTGAATCTTCTTCTCCTCCTCCTACTCCTTTGATCCGTTGCCCCTCCCAACAGTCTAACTCAAGCCCGGGAAATAATTGCCCAGGAGCCTGTCCCTTTGAATCAACTGCCCGGTCGATTCAATCCCAAGGTCCTCAGCTGGGAGCAATGGGAAGAACGACTGGGATCTTTGGGCTTCCTCGCCCTTGATGTTAGACCGGTATTCAAAGAGTCTTCTAGGGTTACCAAAAAGGTTTTGGCCGAAGTCCGTACCATCCTCCCACCGAGCTACAAAGTCCTTTCCAAAACCACCTGGCCCAACATCATTGAACCCCACCAGGGAACCCGGTTGGGTTTTCATGTTGCTTCTCTAGAGGGAGGTATCATTTTTCCTCTTCGCCCCCTCCTTATTGAAATCTGTAAGAAGTTTCATGTTTTGCCCGGTCAACTTACTCCAAACGCTCATCGGTTCTTAAATTGTTTTGTTAATATCTGTGAAAATATGAAAATCAACCCTTCCCTTGAGCTTTTCCTCCACACGTACGAAGTCTTGCCCGGGACTAGTAACTGCCCGGGCTTCGTCTATTTTCATTCTCGTAATAAGAGATCTTTTGTGACCGGTCTTCCCCCTAGTCACAAAAGATGGAAGAAAAGATTTGTTTTTGTTGAATTCCCCCCTGACCAATTTCCTTTCCCAAACCCTGAGTGGGCTGACCGGGTTATAAAACCTGAAAGGGTTCATCCGGAGCCCACTAAAGATCTTGAGGACGCCTGCGAGAAACTTCTCAAGGGTGATCCTATGACCGGGAAACCTTATGCCTATGGGGGCTGGGTATTCCGGCTACCTAACCCGGATGGGGGTGCGTCTGCGACCCATGACGCTGAGGATAACCGGGCTGATTCCCCGGATGGTCACGCTGAGGCCGGCTCTCCTCATCTAGGTTGGTTAATTTTCCTCAACCTTTTGATTCCACTTTCATTTTGATAAGGTGTAAAATCTAACCGGTCACTTTGTTCTTTTTGGCAGACATGAACTTCACTAGGATGTCCACTCTTTTCGAAGATGATGACGATGATGTCGAAGTCCTCAACTCCAACCGGTCTCCCAATCACAACCCTCCCTCCCCTCCTCAAAACCCTGGAGTTGAAGGGGCTTCAACTGCCCGGTGCTCTTCCTTTGACGATCTCATTCGAGATAAGCAGGTGAAGTCACCCTCAGCCCTCCATTTCTCCGAAGGCGACCGGGTTTATATTCTCCGGGCCCAGGTTGAATCCAAGTCCAAGGAGGCCGGCCATTCTTCTTCCCGTGCTAAGGGCCAGAAAAGGAAAGGGTCCCAAAAGAGCTCCAAGGGGGACAAGAAGAAGAAGGTCAGGTTATCAGATAGGGAGGGGGAGTCCATCGAAGAAGCCTTTCTATCCCTGGCCAAAAAACTCAGCAAGGTACTTCATCTTTGGTTTTCCTCCCGGTTAGAATATTTCCTTTGCTTTTATTGATACACCTTTTTTTTGCAGGCCGGGGTCATTTCAGAAGAGATTGGCCAAAGTCTTTTGGAGCCAAAAGACCAGATCTCCCAACTCACCCTTCTCCTTGATTCTGCCAAGCTGGAGATTAATGACCGGGCAGAAAGGGAGAAGAGGCTGGAGGAAGAGTTGAGGGAAGAAAGGGCCAGGTTTGCCCTTTTGGAGGAGGAAGGGAAAAGAAAGGTGGCCGAGCTCAAGGATGCATTGGGCCAGGCTGAAGAGGCTGCCCGGTCAAAGGAGGAGGCATTCCCTACTGAAGCTGCTGCCTGGGCTGCGTGCCATCACTTGGAAGTTGCCCGGTCTATTCTCACCACGCCGGAGGAAACCATGGACTTCTTCAAGACCATGTATAAAGAACCGGAAGGGAGGAGGATGATAACTGAGATCGGTTCCTATGGGTTCCAATGCGGCCAAAAGGAAGAGAGGTCCCTTCTCTATGCCAGGCTCCAAAAGAGGGATCCATCCTTTGACCCAGCCAAGATGAAACTCCCGGCTCTATACAAAGAAGAGCCAGCTCCCCCCTTTCCCCTAGAGTAGGTTAGGGTTTGGATTCAAAAACATTAAATTTTCCCAAGGCCTGGGGGATGTCCGGCCTACTTTTGACTTGTATGAAACTTTAATTTTCTTGCATGCCTTTTACGTTTACCGGTCTATTTACTTCAATATGCACGGTTGAACCTCTTTTCTTATATGGTTGTCCTGGTTGTTTTACTTTCTTGGTCCTTACTCGAAATTGCATGGTCAGGCTTGCCTTTACTTTATCATGCTGGGTTGAACTTCCAAGTCATTAATAATAACCGGCCATATACCTTAGGAATCGCTCAAAGAATGTCCAGGTCATCTCATGTCCTGGTCTTTAAAACATCAAGGCTTGGTTGAAAAATGTCTAGATCTTATAATGTCCTGGTCAAATTCATCTCTCGAAAATGTCCAGGTCTTGTAATCTTGAAAACGTCTAGGTCCAGGGCACCTCACGTCTGACTAGTTTTCTGGACCGGCTTATGTCTAGGTAGAGCTGCTATAAATGTCAGGTCAGTAGGCTAGGTTGAAAATCTTGAGGAGCATTTTAGATGCAAGGCTTGAAAACTTCCAGGTCAGTTTCTTCCCGGCTTGTCTTCTCACTTAGTCAACTTCCAGGTTGGAATATGACACTCGTCTAGGTTGAATTCTTCCTGACCAACTTCCAATGGCTTGGTTGCAATATGTAATCAGCATAACGTCAAATTTCCGGTCTAGGTGCCGGGTCAAAAATATGACCGGTCAAAATGAAAGTTCTCCAGACTTGTCTGATTTCATCAAAACGAAAAAAGTGACCGGTCACTTTTCTTAAAGTTGACCGGTCAAATTTTAATTTTTTCCCATTCGCATTTTCTTGCCAATCCAAAACATCAAAAAGTGACCGGTCACTTTTGACCATGCCACTTTCCTTTACCCCTTTGGCCTGGATGTCATGCCTAACAGTAACCTTGCTCAAATTTCGAACGAATAATCCGAATCGGTTTTGGAATCATCAAGTCTCAACATCAAGACCCGAACTTTCTTCGGAGATTTTGACCATGTCATATGATCGCGAACCCTCTCCAAGGTTCAGCCCTCTTCCAGGCAACACCCTTCTTCCAGGGCCCCTCTTCCAGGTTTTAAGTTTTTTAATGTGCCTTTCTCTAATCATTAGGTTGACCTAGCCAACCCAATCTTCCCACGTGGGGGTATGCCGGTGAGAACCAGCCCTCATCCAATCCTACATGTCCATATATTATGCGTTTGAAGTGAATTCTAGTCTTCCCTAGATCCTTCAATCCGCAAAGGATGGCTCATGCAAGACGGTATTTTTTTTTTACTTTGGGATCTTTTTGCCCCTATCCAAACGAAAATTTGGTAGGGATCCATGTAAGTATGGACGCGAGTCCTCTTCCAGACCCAGCCTATCTCAAGGCCATACCTCAACATCAAGGCCCCTATCTCAAGGGTTTATCTTCTTTTTTTTTTTGACCTTGCTTCTTACATCAAGACATATTATTTTAGTATTACTGACCCAGCAACACAAGTATCGAAGAAAGCTATTATTTATCATCGAAGGGGTATTACAAATACATGCCCTGCCAATTTGGCCTATCGGTAGAATTTTCTAAGGTGGTGGGAATTCCAGCACCTTTCCAACTCTCGACCTTCCATTGTTTCTAACTTGTATGTCCCAGGGCGTAATATTGCTGTGACCCTATATGGGCCTTCCCATTTCTTTACAAGTTTTCCCCCGTCTCCGGGTTTGCTAGCCTCCCTTCGTCTCAGGACCTCATCACCCACTTGGAAATAATGAGGCCCTACCTTGTTATCATGGTAGGCCTTGGCTGCTTGCTGGTATTCCGTCATTTTAGCCTCAGCGACCATCCGCCTTTCTTCCAACAAGTTTAGCTCTGCCAAATGGTTTTCCTCATTCCCTTTCTCTTCATAGACCTTCTCCCGAAAGGTCATTATTTTAGCTTCGATGGGTAGTCTGGCCTCACACCCATATGTAAGGACGAAGGGTGTCTCCCCTGTGGCCCTTCTTGAAGTGACCCGGTAAGCCCAGATGATATGTGGCAACTCCTCTAACCAATTCGTTCCTGCGTCACCCAACCGCTTTTTGATCCCATCGACTATTGTGCGGTTCGCATTCTCCACCTGGCCATTCCCTTGCGGGTAGGCCACGGAAGCCTTGTTGTGAGTAATCCCGAAGTCGTCCAAGTATTTGGTGAACCCTGGATTCCGAAATTGAGGCCCGTTATCCGTCACGATGTTTCGGGGTGACCCGAACCGAGTGATGATGTTCTTCCAGACAAAGCGCTGGCACTGCTTGGTTGTGATGGTTGCATATGCCTCGGCTTCCACCCATTTTGTGAAGTAGTCGATAGCGACCATGACATACTTCTTTCTCCCTTGAGCTTGAGGGAAGGCCCCAATGATGTCCATCCCAAACCTTGCGAATGGAATAACATTGGAAACTGGGTGGTAGTATGTTGCAGGCCTTCCCGGAAACTTGTAGAATACCTGGCAAATCTTGCACCTCTGGACATATCTCTCGCAATCTTGGTTCATTGTAGGCCAGAAATAACCTAGCAAAATGATCCTTTGCGCGAGCGTCCTGGACATTTGGTGGGCGGTGCAGACACCCTCATGAACTTTGGCGATCACTCTTTCCGCCTCTGCCCTGGTCAAGCAACTTAGTAATGGACCACAAAATGCTCTTTTGTATAGCCTTCCCTCGAGCATTTGGAATCTTGGAGCCCTCAACTTTACTTTTCTCACCCTGTCCTCATCTTCAGGGAATTGCCCGGTCATGTAATACCTGACCAGATCATCCATCCAAATGTCATCTGGCTCCACTCGATCTGGATTGGCCTGTCCATCTTCTTCTATCACGCTAACAGAAAACCCCTTAATGCTGGCTTTCTCCAGCGTCTCAATCCTGGCCAGCTTGGACACATGCTCCGGGGCTGCTTGCGTCAACTTTGATAGTAAGTCAGCATCGGTGTTCTCCCCCCTAGGGATTTGCTCCATCACATACTCAGTCAGGTCCTTCAATAGTGTCCTTGCCAAGTCTCTGTACTTCTGCATTTTCTCTCCTTTGGCCTCCATGTTGCCATTGATGTGGCCTACCACCAAGCTTGAATCGGACTTGATCCTGAGGCATGTGATTTGTAGGGTTTTGGCCAATCTCAGGCCCCCTATCAACGCCTCATACTCGACCTCATTGTTTGTGAGCTTGAAATTAAAAATCAAGGCATGATATACTTTAAACCCTTCCGGAGTTGTGAATACTACGCCTCCCCCGTAACCTTTCGGTCCAGAGGCTCCATCTACCGACATGGACCACCAAGGTTCGGTGATGGCCCTGGCCGGTTCTTCTTCCTGGTGACCCGTCATCTCCACAAGAAAGTCAGCCATAGCCTGCCCTTTTATCGTCGTCCTCGGACGATATTTAATGTTGAATTGGGTAAGCATCATGGCCCATTTGATCATCCTTCCCGATGAAGTGGAATCCCTCATGACCGTGCCCAATGGTAGGTCGGTCAATACGACAATGGGATGGGCCTGGAAGTACGACGTGAGTTTCTTCGCTGTTATGAAAAGTGCATACCCTGCCTGTAACGCCCTGGAAACCGGCTTAGTAGTTAGCCGTTAGTTTAATAAAAATAAATATATTATTTATTAACTTCAAAATATGAATTATTTGTAAGTTGACCATTTTAATTAAAAATTAGGTTTTTGGGTAGATCTCGTAAAATGGTGACCAACGATATATAGTTTGTTAAAATTAAACTTTTGTATAAAACGTGGTGAGTAAAATAGAAGTTACAGTTCAATAAATGAATATAAAGATTTTATAATATTAAATAATAATAAATTATTCCTACGCCTATTTGTATTCCAAAACGGAGAAAAACCCTCGCCCAATTAAACTGTGTATATAATTTACTCCGTATATACTGCGCCTCGCATTCCAACCTGCATCACGACTCTTCTTCTTCTCCATTGGCGACGAAACCAAGGGAGTTCGTCGATCAAGCTGCCTGAGACGTCGCCGGGAGAGAGAACTTCGCCGGAGCTTCCGCCGGAATCTAGGTGGGAATTATTTGTGATTTCTTCATCAATTCCATTGAGGTGAGTGATTTATCTCCCGTTAAAATTAATTCATAGATTAGGATTCGTTAATATGTTTTCAATCAATTGGCGCTGGATTTGCGATTTTGAATATTGAATATGCTAAATCTAATTGCAAAAAAATTGTTTTACTCTGCACCATGTTCGTCTTCTATCTCGACCCCATCTACTCCTTTCTATTCTACGCTGCCCTGTTTCCCTGTCGCCGGAGTTGGGAACAGGAGGCTTCCCCTTTGCTCTGTACGTTGCTCTACTTCCGGGATGTCGTTTAGCCGCTGACGTTCGTAGCTGAGCTTTGCCGCCTCTGCCGATCGGAATGCTACGGGATAAAAAAAAAGAAGAAGATACGCAGGGGCAACGGATTGACTATTTCCAATTAAGGAACTAGAGTTTTAGGTTTACGATTCGGATTTGGCCCCATGCTTTCAAATTAATTATAATCTGGCCCATTCATGATACTCTAGAGGAAGATTTGGTATGACTAGTAAGTAATCTAAATTTGATAACTTGAGGACTTGTGATAATTATATGTTATGAAATAATTCAGAGCTGAGTTGAATTGTATATTGAAAATCACAAATAGGATTGAGATTAGAAATTAAGGTCATGCAGGTGACGGCGTACACCTGGTGGTCTCGAGGGTTAAAAACGTGCGCACGGTGGTCATTGACCCCTGGCGAGAGCCAGCGGGGGCCTCAACCCCCTCCATTGTGAGAACTTTGGAGTTATGAGTGTGGGTTTGGGCGAGAGCCTGGATTCCATTACTCCCGTAAGTAAGAATTGGATTATATCTAGCAGGCAGATGGAGTGAGTATGCGCAAGAACTAAACTGAATTATAAGAGGAAATAGTGGTACAATTGGATAATGATATTTGGTGATTCATCTGATATTGTTTGATTATATATTAATGAGTGCTAGTCTATGAGTTAGTTTTAGCGTTAGATACTTCCACTCTCCCTATTTTTTACAGGTAGGGATCAAGGTTTGGATGAGGAGCAGCCTGGAGGACAGTGAAGCGTGACGCTGGTGGATGACCGAAGCTGTTTTATTTAAATTTAATATAGTTGTTGAATTTGTTTACTTAAATTACTAGAATGTTGAATGTTGTTTTTTTAAGGCTTCCGCAATGTTTGAATTATTTACTCCGATTAAACCATGATTTGTTCTTAAATAAATATGATCGAATGTTTTATTTTAAATGTTTTTAGAAAAATTGTGCATGTGAATACCAAATTAGTAACAACCCGATACGCTAACTCGTCAGTTCGGGTTTCGCGGGTTGGGGTGTTACACTGCCTTCTCCGTAGGAGTGTACCTACTTTCTGCCCCATTTAAGGCCTTGCTTACATAATAGATGGGCCTCTAGACCCCATCATCCCTCATCAAGACTGAGCTAACAGCCATTTGAGTAACCCCTAAGTAGAGGTAGAGGGTCTCCTTTGTTTCTGGCTTGGATAAGACAATATCCGAAGTCAGGTATGTCTTCAACTCTTCGAATGCCCTGGCACATTCATCATCCCACTGGAAGGTGTTGGCTTTCTTTAAAACCTTAAAGAAAGGCAAAGCCTTCTCTGTCGACCTGGACAAGAATCGGTTTAAGGCCGCCAAGCGCCCTGTTAACCGCTGGACTTCCCTTACCGATGTTGGGGGTTACATCTCCATAATGGCCTTGATCTTCTCAGGATTTGGCTCAATCCCTCTCTTCGTCACCATAAAGCCCAGGAACTTCCCCGTCCTCACAGCAAAAACACACTTCTTCGGGTTAAGTCTAAGATTATGTCTAGCCATAATCTCAAAGCATTTTTCCAGGTCTTGAGCATGTGTGCCGCTTGCCCTGCTCTTCACCAGCATATCATCGACATAGGCCTCCATGGTCCGTCCAAGAAAAGGCCTGAACAATTTGTTGACCATTCTCTGGTAAGTTGCCCCTGAGTTTTTCAACCCAAAGGCCATCACCTTGTAACAGTATGTGCCGTCCGGAGTGAGGAAGGCCGTCTTTTCTTCATCATCCTCCGCCATGAAGATTTGGTGATACCCCTTAAAGGCATCCATGAAGCTAAGCAACTCACACCCGGCAGTTTCATCAACCATTTGGTCTGGGCTAGGGAGAGGGTAAGAATCCATTGGAGATGCCTTGTTGAGGTCTGTGTAGTCCACGCACATCCTCCAGGTATCACCCTTCGGGGCCAGGACAACATTGGCCAGCCATTCGGGGTAGTTTACTTCCCTGATATGACCTACCTCAAGTAGGTCCTTAACCTCCTTTTTCACAAAATTCCTCCTATCACTTGCCAAGAATCTTTTCTTCTGTCTTACAGGCCTAGACCCCTCAAGAACAGAGAGACGATGGCAAATGACTGACCGGTCAATTCCGGGCATATCAGCAACACTCCAAGCAAATAATGATTTATACCTGGTCAACACCTGGACAATCTCAGTCCTTAACTCTTCCTGAAGATCAGCCCCAATTTTAACCTTCCTCTCAGGATTGGAGGCATCAATCTGGATCTCCTCCGTGTTTGCATCCGGCTCAATCCTAGCCTCCTCCTCACCCTTGTCTACTTGCTGGGAGACCAGTTCAATTTGTTCGAACTGGCGGGTCATCTTCTTGACTGCTACCAGGTAGCAGGACCGGGAGTTCTTTTGATCACCCCTTTCCTCCCCGATTCCATTGGGAGTGTAAAACTTCATGCATAAGTGTGCCATGGAAATAATAGCCCTGACCTGGTTGATTCCAGGCCTACCCAGAATGGCATTATGCACACATTTGATGTCGACCACAACAAATCTCATTTGTTTGGTCACTGTCCTGTTACCTGACCTCAAGGTAACCTGTAAGGTTATCTGACCTTCCGCTTCTATGCTAGCTCCAGTGAAGCCTGACAATGGAGTTTGCAATGGCCTCAACATGGATCTGTCAAGCTTCAATTTCTTGAAAGCACCCAAGTATAAAACATTGACACTGCTTCCTGTGTCAACCAGGACCCTGGCCACATCAGCTCCATTGATATCCATTGTAATGACCAGAGGGTCATTATGATCTCCCCCCGTCCTGGGAAGATCCTTATCAGTGAAAGTGATAGGTTCCCTCCTTGCGTGCTTCCCTTGTGTTTCCAGGGGAACCACCGCTACGTGTAAGCTCCTGGCCCAGTTCTTCCGCTAGGAGGCAGTATCCCCACCTTCTGGGCCGCCGACAATCATCTCTATGAATTCTTTATCCGGATTGTTGTTATCCTTCCCGGATTTTCTCCTTCCCTGGTCTTTTCCCTGAGGATGGGTCCAGGTGTTCGCTTTCGGGTCCTTCTTATTCCCCGTCGCGTAACCTTCCCCAAGCTCTCCTTTCAAGGCCATCTCCTTGAGCACAGCCTTGACATTTCGGCAATCCACCGTATTGTGGGAGTCAGATTGGTGGTAGGTACACCACTTCTCCGTCCAAGGCCTCTTGGGTTGTTCTCCCTTCTTCTCATCCCTTATTTGATGGACAGATCCGTCATATGTGGCCTTTGGCTTAGACCTTCCCATCTGGTCGTCCTTCTTCAGCTTGTCGGATTTCACCTTTGTATATCCTTCCTCCAATTCCCGCTTGCTCTTATTCAAGACCTCCGCGTCGGCATACTCCTATGCCGTATTGTAGGCTTCTTGGTAAGAGGAGGGTGGCCTCCTACAGAATTCGGTGTAGAGGTCACCCGACCGGAAGGCATTCATCAGCAAAGACATGGCCGTCTTGTCGTCCATCTCTTCTACCTTGTCGACCTCATCCCTCCAACGGGTCAAGAATTGAGTCAAGGACTCCTTCTCCTTCTGCCCTACCGTGTTAAGGTAGGTGAACTTCTTCCTCTTGATGCAATTGTCCTGGTACTTCTTGCGGAAAANATCCTGCCATGGGGAAGGCCGTTAAACCATTCCACTGGCCTCCCTCTCAAGGATGAGAAGAAGAGTAGGCATTCCTCAGCATCAGTGCACCCGGCCATTTGTGCTGCATTGTGGAAGGTGTCAAGGTGGACGTTTGGATCCTCCTTTCCTGTGAATTTCTCCACGTCCAGCTTAATCTTCCGCCTCAACCTCTGCGCATGTACCCTGGCCGAAAAGGGAGATTTAGCCAAGGTGTGTTTTTTCGCTCCCTCCTTCTCTTCCACCTTTTCCTCCAGGGCACGTAGTTTCCTTGCTACGCTCCCTATCTTGTCCAGGTCATCCTCATCGTATGAGAGCCTGGTATATGCCGACGCCCTCGGCTGGCTTTCTGCTTCCTCCTCGTCTCGGTGAATCGTCTCAGATTCCCTAGAACGATGAGATTGGGCGTGACGACTCCCGCCGAGTCTTTCCATTGCGCTAGTCCGGCCCATCTCAGGACCAAGACGTAGCTTGGCAGACTTGCGGGGTCCATCCTCCTTGTCCCCTAGGCGTTTGAACGCCGAATCTCGAGTCTTGCTGGGTTTGGCTATAGCTTTACCCTTCCTCCTGCAGGCCGCCTCTTGCTCCGCCTCATCAATTTCATGGACGTTTGAGGGCGCTGCTTCATTCATGGTCCCCGTCAGATTCACCGGATGTATAGGGACCATCCTAGGGACAAATGTCGACGGGGTCGACACCGGAGGTGGCATGATTGGTGGCGTCATGCCGGGATAGGAAAATGGCATGAAGCCCCCTGCCTGTTGCACCATGGCCATCACTTGTTGATAGCCCTGTAGAGCCTGAGCATTTGCCGGGTCAGCAGCAAATTGAGCCCAAGCTGATGGGTATGGTGTGAATGCTCCACCAGGCGTTGTTATCGAACCTGGGAACATTGTTGTCGTCGGCGTAGGAGTAGGGGTTGAGATGATTGGGATCATGCCAATCGATCCTACAGTGGTGATCGGAGCAAAGGTCGTCCCCATGCTCGACATCATCAATGGGATGGCAGGAGTGCTTTCACTCGCAGCCTGACTTGACACAGCGTTGTAGTTGCTCGAAGACATGATTGTGGATATTTAGTGGGGGTAAAGTTTTGACCTGGTCGAAAAAACATTAAAAATCGGTCCCACGGGTGGCGCCAAAAATGATGGTGTAAATATAGCTGGGTGGGTGAACCGGGTTTGACATGGACACACTCGACCCGTAATATAAAACACACAACAAGAACACAAAGTATGACCTAGACCGGGTAAATCTCCTCAGTCCGAATTATATTTCTTACTCTATCTCAAGAGTGAACTTTAGTGAGAGAAAAATTGGATCCCCTCCTCTATCAAATATCATCATATTTATAGAGGAAGATTTGTGACCCTCCCCTGTTCATCCATGGATAAAATAGGAAGTTCGTGGGAAGGTTCACTGTAGATAATGGAAGCACTGTACAATCATAGAATTTAGCAACTATAAGCCAAGACATGTACTGTTCAATCAAAGACTATAGATGGATATTCTCAATCCAATCAGCCCTGCAAAGTGACAAACATCCCTTTCACTGTTTGTCTTGTGATGGACGAACGGCGGGGTGGTCCCTCGATCTTTGACGTGGTTCACCATGCCTGAGATACTGGACCAATGTTTGTCAAGTAAGATGATATGACCGGTCACCTTTTTCTCAAAGGTTGACCGGTCATTTCTTGAGCTCAACCCGTCTCTTTGGTCTTCTTGAATTCTTCACAACATTAGGTGATATTTTGGCTATCGCCAAAAATGTGACCGGTCACTTTTTTAGTGGAAGTAACCGGTCAACTTTTGACCCGTCCCAATCGAAGAGTTAACCTCATTTGGTGATTGATAAAAGTGACCGGTCATATTTGACCTGTCCCTTTCGGTTATCCAGGTCGGGTATAGGGATATACCCATCAGATAGCTAAAATTGTAATTTCCCAATGAGGATATATATTTCTTATCATACACAATTCAAAGAGCGCTCCTGATATGTCATTTGTGAATTATAATTGCTTCCTACTACAATAATAATCTACATATGTATGTAGTCTTTTCTCAGACTGCAAAACTAATGGTGATGTCAAATTACACTTTTTGCCTTTAAAAGTGTTATCCATAACCATTATTTTTGTGTTATTTATCTACCAATATGAGAATACGTCACTGGATATTAGGTTGATGTCAAATTATATTTTTAACCTTTAAATTAATACCAACATAGTAGAAGATAAAAAAAGATCATTTTTGGAAAGGCACATATAAAAGAAAGATTACAGAGGTAATATTTGATAATAGAGGACTAGATATGGAAACCCCATGTTATAAAGGACTAATTATGAAATTTACTCATGTAGTGCCGCTTGACGCTTGTGGTGTATACATGCTATAGAGAATTGGAGAAAAGTCTTTTAAAAATTAATTTTTTATACTCTATCCGTCTCAAAATATTTATCACATTAAACAAAATAAAGAAAAATCGTAAGTTTTTTCAATTCATTATATTTAAAGATTGATATTGAAATAAAAAATTAAAAATTACATACATAAAAACTATTTTCAAAACAAAAAGTGACAAGAACGTTTTATTTTATCAAATAATCAATACAAACATAGAAATAAAAAAATTCTGGTAATTTTGTATAGTGAACTGTGACATTCTTTTTTAGACGAATGGAGTATTTAAAATTACATAAAAAATTCTACAAAAGTAGAAACAACATGAATATAATATTTTATCAAATGACTAGTGAAAATAAGTAATAAAAGTGAATAAAGTTTGAGTTCATTCAATATATGTTATAATTTTTAACTTTTATTTTTATTTCTATCCAATTTCTTTTAAGTCTTTTTACTTTCTTTCAACAACGATTTAAAAGAAAGTATTTAAGCACACTTTTCATATTATTATTATTACTGTTACCATTATTAATATTATTATTATTATTATTATTAATGTCAATAGAATAATAAAAACTTGAAGTAATATTTAAAAAAAAATTGTCCCAAAAAATCTAATTACGACTATAGAGCCAACATGAATTATTACAATTTTCAATTAATTAATTCATTATAAAATAATATTTTTGATTTTACAATATTCCATACTTATGCGAAGTATACACCGGTAAATATCTAAGTACAAAATAAGCAATAAAGAAGTTAGCAAAAAAATTAATTTCAAACAATAACAAAAAAAATTAATTTCAAAAAAGTTCCATATGTTTATTAAGTGTTAATGTCTATCAAAACTCAGAACTGCAGCATCATAAAATGTGACAGAATTTTTTTCTCAACATTTACCCGTATACTAAATGAATTTAGTAGATAATTTTTTTGTATTGAAAAAGGGATTTTTTGGTACAACAACAATGCATTTATAAAAACTGTGTGATTTGTCAATGTAGACAGATACATAATAACAGAGGGGGTATGATATAATTTGGGGATTATAAAGCCTTGAATAGCCATTGATGTGTTGCAGGTTGGGCCAACATGTTAAATTGTCTTGGAAGCTCTCAAGTATTACTAATCTAACTCATTTTCAAACTAAAATCAAATAGAAACATAAAATAGGAACTCATCTAAAATAAGAACATCTTGATATTTAAGAACAATAGATCTAAAAAAAGTGTTCCTCAGAAGCACTCCGAAATGGACATGCAAAAAAGAAATTAAAACATCCTGATCTTTAGAATCAAATGAGTGGTTAAAATTGAACTTCTAACATGCAATAAGAAAACCAGATGAACAAACTCCATGATTTCTGACTAAAAAATCATAACAGCAAACTCTATCCCTTCGAATTGTATTGAATTTCAATACAATTCAATTTTTAAAAAAAGAACAAGAATAGATCTAAATTTATTTCACTGTAACCCAATTCGAAACGAACATGCAACAAAGAAATTAGAACGATTCTCAGTCATCAAGTAGTTGAAATTTAGGATTCCATGGAAGGAAATTTTTTCTATTTTTTTCTTCAGATTTGCAGAGAGAAGAAAAAAACGGCAAAAAGAAAGAGAGAAGAAATGACCAAAAACCTGGAGGAAGTAGAAAAGGTAGTGGGAAAATCCATGCTTCATCATCTTCATATAACCGGCACCACCACCGCCTGAGTGAAGAGTAGTGCGGTGTGCAGGTAGAGCGAGGACAGTAAGTGGATCCAACAGTAAATAAATGACTAAATAAACGATTTTATACACAAACGGAAAAAACCCCATTATAAACGCAATAGACAATTATAAAATTAGGGAGAGATGAACGACAATATTTTGTACTAAATTCTTAACTAGTCAATTTATTTAATATAATTTGCACTATCCACAAATCAATTTTTTGAATTCTTTACCTAGTTTCGTTATGCATTTCTTAGAATATAACATGATCAACTCACATTTTACGAACGACCGAGCAGGTAGGTGCCCCAAAAGCACTGGTATCACCACTGCAAGAATCTGCCGGATCTGCAACAGAATTACATCACTCCTTCGCAGATCTGCAATTACTTTGCGACCGCTTTTGAAATTTAATGTCCGAGATATATTCTGCCACGGAACTACTTTTTGTCGTCGCAGAACTGAAACGGAATATCCGAGTGCATCGCAAATTACAAAAAATAGCATTTGCTTATTCCGGTCTCGCGAATCAGCGACGGACGTGCGTCGGAGGTATGGTTCCGTAGCAGATTGTAATTAAAACAGTCCTCTTCTCCTTTTTCGGTCAGAAACGGGAACACACCCAAAAGGCAGCCTCCTCTCTCAAAAAACCTAGCCCCTCAACTGCGCCGTCAGCCTCCTCACCGTTAGCCCCTCAACCGCGCCGCCCCTCATCCCGCCGCCCCTCAACCTCCGTCCGCGCCCACGCCACCCCACGCCAGCCTCGCCACCTCACGCCGCCCCTCGCCACCATACGCCGCCTCTCGCCACCTCGATTTGCCCCATCCTTCACATACCCTCAAATTCAAGGTTTATTCTTTATTTTTATTCATTTTAAATTTATTGTCTAATTTGGTGAAATCGAATGTGTTTATGTGAAATTGAGAAAAGTTTAGCTGCAATTGAATTGAAATCGTGTATAATTAGTATGCTATTGATTGAAATTGACTTGAATTTGGATAAAATTGAATATGTTTTTGTGAAATCGGGAACATTTTAGATGAAATTGACATGAAATTGGGTGCAATATAATGACTTTAGATGAAATTTGATTGAATTTGAATGCATCTTTGGTGAATTTAACTTTTACATTAGCGAAAATTAAATTGAATTTGTTTGAAATTAAGTTCACATTGTGTGAAATTAATTTGAGTATGATTCAATTAGACTTGTTATTGTATGCAATCAAATGCTTTTGTCAATTGAATTAGATTAAGTCATTGCTAAATTTTACAGTGCTTAAATGATAGATATTTTTGGTTCATCATTGTTGTTTGTTTCTTGTGGTTAAAGTTTGTTGTTTGGCGTCTTTCAATTGCTAGGCATTGTTAATATGAGTTGTTAATTTGAAAATTGTGACTTGATGTATAACAAGTACGAGAGAGAAGGTGTTGTTAGTCAAGAATGGAAGGATGACGTTAAAGAGTTTGTAAAGTATTGTGTGTCAAGTCCGCATGTGTATAAGCTCGAGAATAAGAAAATGCGGTGCCCATGCAAGAAGTGTAAGAACATTACATTTAGATCATCAGCAAAGATGTTCGAGCACATACTCCGGTTTGGAATCACCCCTAATTACCACAATTGGGTGTGTCACGGGGAGAAGCACGGCGACTGGGTCCCCCCCCCAACGACGTAAAGTTTCTCGTCGGGCCAATGCCACAGACGTGTTTGATCAAACGGGTAGAGAACAATATGTAGACATGGTGTGTGATGTTGTTGGCCCATCTCATGTTCACTCCATTCTTGAGGTGGAGCCAAATCCGAGCGATAAGAAATTCTTTGAAATGTTGCAAGCTGCTGATACAGACTGTGGACTGGGTGTAAGAAGATGTCTAAGTTATCTGCAGTTGCGCGTTTGTTGAACATCATGTCTGACCATAACCTATCTGAGCGGTATTATGACACCTTCTGTCAATTCCTCCAAGATGCACTACCCGAGAACAACACGATGGTGGTAGGATTTTATCAAACAAAAAGCTAATTGAAGATCTTGGTCTCCCCGTCCAGAAGATTCATTATTGCATCCTTGGGTGCATGTTATATTAGGGAGATGATGAAGGTTTGACTGATTGCAAATATGCAAAAAGCCGCGCTATAAAGATGAGCAGTCTAAGATTCCAAATAGACAAATGTTCTACTTTCTGCTGACGCCAAGGTTGAAACGCTTGTATATGTCTAAACGTACAGTGCCGATCATGGACACACAAGTGATGATGAAATATGTCACCCTTGCGATTCTGAAGTGTGGAAAAGGTTTGATGTCGAACATCTTACGTTTGCGTGGGAGGTGCGCAACGTGCGTCTTGGATTGTGCACAGATGGGTTTCAGCCGTTTGGACAATCTGGGTCACAATATTCTTGTTGGCCCGTAATGATTACTCCGTACAATCTTCCGCCCGATATGTGCATGAAGGAAGAACACATTTTCCTAACACTAATTATACCAGGGAGGTCTAATCCAAAATAGAAGATTGATGTGTACTTACAACCACTTATCGCAGAGTTGAAGAATCTTTGGAGCGAAGGCATGGAGACATACGATGTTTCACTCAAACAAAATTTTAAAATGCGTGCTGCACTCATGTGGACAATCGTGATCTCCCCGCGTATGCCATGATGTCTGGTTGGCGCACAACAGGAAAGACGGTGTGTCCCATCTGTATGGATCAAGTTGTCTCGTTCAGGTTGCCTAACGGAGGAAAACAGTCGTGGTTCGACACACATCGACGTTTTCTTCTGACAGATCATCCTTTTAGAAGGAATACGAAGAAGTTCATAAAAATCAAATCGAGACAAAATCACTACCAATTCGGAAGAGCAGGAAAGATATTTTGCATGAAATAGAGTCTCTAGGCCTTAAGAGATAGTAGAAAAAGATGGCGAAGCCATTAACTCTAGCCTTGTGAAACACACTTCATGCGGGTGGAGAAAAAAAAGCATATTTTTGGATTTGTCTTATTGGGAGACTAATATGATTCGTCATAATCTCGATGTTATGCATATTGAGAAAAATGTTTTTAAGAATATTTTCAACACCGTTATGGATGTGCAGGGCAAGACGAAGGACAACGCAAAGGCAAGGGAAGATATTTCGTTGTTTTGCTCTATAAAAGAGTTGGAGCGTGACCCTAAAACTGGAAAGTACCCAAAAGCTTGCTACACTCTAGATAAGGTGTAACAAGAGGCATTTCTTGGTTGGGTGAAGGAATTGAAATTTCCCGATGGGTATGTCTCAAATTTGGGAATATGTGTCAACCCAACTAAGCTGAGGATGTTTAACATGAAAAGTAATGACTGCCATGTGTTCATGCAAAGACTACTACCCATTGAATTTAAAGAATTACTTCCAAAAGTTGTATGGGAAGTGATTACTGAACTCAGCAACCTTTTGAAGTTAGACGCAAATATTCCAATTATTATATACAAACTAGAAGCAATTTTTCCACCTGAATTTTTTAATAGTATGGAGCATCTTCCTATTCACTTAACCTACGAGGCGAGGGTTGGTGGCCCCATTCAATTTCGATAGATGTATCCATTTGAGAGGTAATTTATACAATAATTTTTGTTTATCTATGTCTTTTGGGATATGTAGGTAAACCTTTCACATAAATGTAGGTACCTTAATCGGCTCAAAAGAATGGTGAAAAATAAGGCTCGTGTGGAAGGGTCAATTGCCAATGTATATCTAGTACGAGAGGTGTCTTATTTTTGCTCCCATTATTTTGAAGAGCATGTGTACAATCGAGCTAGAAATGTGCCTCGTAATGACCCTCAACTGCGGCCTAGTGGGGAGGAATTAAGTGAGGACAATTTCACAATTTTTAAGACACCTCGACGTTTACAGGGAAAAATGCGTACTAGGCGCTTAACTCTGGATGAGCAAAAAGTTGCACACTATTACGTCATTTTCAACAGCCCTCAGATTGATCCGTATATTACGTAAGTATTTTCAATAATTTAACTTCAAATATTGACTTGTAATGAATACATATGAACAACGACAACATACAACACATATGAACCGACAGTCGAGTCAAGAAGAAGTCTGTGGATCCGGCGGAATTGGAGGCATTGCAGGAGGTAAAGTGTTACAATATACAAACCCTATATTTCTTCACACACATATTAACTGTGTAATGTAAATGTCAATAGGGTTGGAATGCACCAAAATTTCAGGATACAAGCAAGAGAAAGAAGAAGAATAGAGGCAAGGGTAGAGACTGCTCTTGGGACTTACACTAGAGGCACGGTCTCATTTTCTGATTATTTGAATCGACTGGTAAAGTATTTGGCATAAAATAAAGAATCACACACTAGTATATATTGAATATAATTAACGTTTAATGTGTATCTGCTTTTAATATTGCAGGCTGCCAAGAAAGGAACGCCTGTCTCGTTGGAAGATGCCATTGTCCATATGAAGACGAAAAAGCATGACGGGCAGTCTTGGGTTGATCCAGCTAATGCTGATCTCTGGGTACGTATCATTCTAATAGTTTACGATGTTTTTGGTGGTGGTGTTCTTGAAGTTCATGATGATATTGTGATTGATGTTGTTGATCATTGATAGTGTTGTTGTGATTGTTATTGTTTTTGTTACTCTTGTTGATGTTGTCGTTGTTTTTAGTCTTCATGATGTCGTTAATACCTAGTATGGGTGACATTGTTCATATTGGTTTTAGTATTGTTGTTGTTATTGTTTTTAGTCTTGTTGATGTTCTAATGATATTGTTTGTGATGTTGTTAATACCTAGTATGGCTGGCATTATTGATATTGTTGTTATTGGTTTTAGTCTTGTTGATGTTGTTACGGTACTGTTCGTGATGTTGTTAGTACCTGCTATAGGTGATGTTGATGTTGTTGTTATTGGTATTATTATTGTTTGTGTTGTTGTTACTAGTTCGGTGACATTATGTTGTAATTGTTGTTGTTGTTTTTATCTTATTGTTGTTGCTTTGATGTTGTTATTACTTGGGTGATGTTGTTGTGGTGTGTTTGTAGGCTCGGTTTGTTACTCTTTGTGATGAGGCAAGGAAGAACGGACTCAATGTCACCAACCAAGAAATATGGTACTCGCTAGTCCAGGGCCACAACGCAAAGAATCGGGCGCCTGAAGTCGGTGACTATGAGCGTCAAATGAGAAAGTTGAAGCTATCATCCATCCGTCGTCGCTCTAGTTCTTCCGCTAGTAGCAAGACAGAAATTGAGGCCTTAAAAGAGCATAACCAACGCCTCTAGGAAGAGTTTGATGCCCTCACCTCCAAATTCACCACCATGCAAGAAGACTTGAAAAGGTTATACGGTGGGAACCATCCACTACAAGACGATAACGGTGGAAACGGGGGAGCAAGGCAACCAGGAGCCATTTGTTAGACAGATTGAAAACATTATCAATGTTTATGCATACTATCCGACGGAAATGTTTATGCCTACAATACATTAATATTAACTTACTTTGTATTTGTTATCTGGTTTTTGATTGAATTTTATATTAAAATTTGTTTCTAGTTATGTTACAAAATGTATTTTTACAAACCCCATCCCCATGAATGGTAGGTTGCAGGTAGTTGAGAAAAAATAAAGAAACTGCAAACTGCCAGAAACCATATCTACTGGTTTGTGAGGTTGCGTCCGCGACGGAAATGTAGTGTCTGTTGCAGAGAATGAAGCATTGCCAGATTTTCGACGGTGGGTCATACGTCGCAAGTCCGACGCAGATCACGAATCTGTTGTGGCTTTTACGGAACTGCGACAAAAATATTCTATGGCAGATCCGACACATTCTTGTAGTGCATGATGTCACACCACTTGAAGTGTATAACATTAGAGGCTATATATATATATATATATATATATATATATATATATATATATATATATATATATATATATATATATATATATATATATATATATATATATATATATATATATAAAATTTGGGAATTCGGCTTCGAGAATTATTTTATAATTAATAAAGTAATGGGAAATGTCTTGTGTCGTTTCATATTAATATTTTGACTAATATGAAAAACATTTAAACCAATAAGAGAAAAGTCATATGCTGTTACAAAATTTTAACTAATCCTTAAAATATCTAACAAAATTAAATTTATTTTTATTTAAATTTGTAAAACTACTCACCATTTCCCTGTTATTTTCTTTTTAAAATAAAGATTTATATAATGATTAGTACATATGCTTCATTACTAACTCAGAGCTTCAATTTTTGATAAGATATCATATATAAAAATTAGAAAATACTCTATATATTATAATGCATACCAAAAAAAATATGAACAAAAACGTTTTAATGTTCTATAAGAATATAACTATTAATTTTTAACTGAGAATATAACAAATAGTATCTAAGAATAATATTTGATAGTAAAAATACATTTGTAACAACTAATAATATGCCATAAATTTTCTTACTGTGAACATCAATATTTTGACCAAGATTTACTCAATTGTATATTTATGATACACAGAACGATATATCAAATAAAATGGCTCATTTCAGGTATTTTGATCATTTTATTAAGTTCGAAACTTTTATACATGTATTAATTACATGTGTTTGAAAACACAATTCTCTTGGAATGTAATTATCATACTAACAAGAACAAATTTTTCTCTTTGTTTCATACTGCAGCGATAATAATTCTTTGGCCACTAATAGAAGTTTAGTCCTAGATTTGAAAAATATGATTGACGAGCATAAAATTTTAGAATGAGGCATACACAATGGGTGAAGCACAGAGAATCTAGTGGGTGCAATTCAACCGTGATCAAATGAGGGAAGCAATTATGAGTCACATTCAAGAAGCTAAGATCAGAGGTGATACCAAATTCGCACCCATTAGCCAACAAATTATTCTACCATCTACATTCAATGGTGAAATGACATATATGTTTAATAATAGTTAGGATAGATGTTATGGCTATTTGTAGAAGACTTTATTATCTAGATTTTTTCATTACTATGATATGTAATCACCAATGGCCAGAGCATAGTTTTCGAGACTGGACTGGTGACCGAACCGGTCCAAGTACTGTTTCACTATGATATATATATATATATATATATATATATATATATATATATATATATATATATATATATATATATATATATATATATATATATATATATATATATGTAACGCCCCGAAATCTGGCCCAAAAGAATTAATTAAATTGTTAGAGCAATTGATTACGAATTGGGCCCAAAAAGGGGTTAAAATTATAATTTGGATTCTAAGCCCAACTTTTATGTCATCTCGTAGGAAATATTTTTGTGATCGCGTCGGTTCAGACGGCTCGCGAATCGGAGTTATGGAGCTCATGTTTTGACCATTTAATCAGGTATTTTGGGTCCGAAGCCCAATCCTTTTTGGAATGGGACCATTAAATAAACCTAAACCTATTATCCTCCACACGATTACCTTATCTTCTTCTCCCGTCCTTCTTCGTTCTTCTTCTTCTTCGACTTCTTCTTCGATCGCCGCCGGAAGTCCGCCGCTCCTCGTCGCCGTCCAATTGGAGCAGCCAGCCGCCGGCGTCGCCGCTCATCGCCGGTCGCCTTCCCCAGCTAGTCGCTGCCCAGCGTCACCAAGCCTCCGGCCGCCGTCGCCAAGCCTCCAGCGCCGCCGCTACTTCCTTCGCCAGTAGCCGCCGCCATCATCGCCGACGGGTGCAGCGCCGCCATCATCGCCGACGGGTGCAGCGCCGCCACGCCAAACGCCGCTATTTCGCCCTCGCCGGAATCGAGCGCCGCCGTCTCCCTTAGCACAGCGGCCATCCTCGCCGTCGAGTGCAACGCCGCTGTTTCGCCTTCGTCGGTCGTCCGCCGCCGTCGATTGCAGCGCCGCCAGTCGCTGCTCACCGCCGTCGAGCTGCCGCTACGCCACTGTCGCCGGCGTCCGTCACCGTCGCCGCATCCAGCCGCTACCCCGAGTTGATATCGCCGGCAGATTAACCTCCACGCCGGATTGATTGGTCGATTTCGTATTTTGACTCAATTTGACCCGTTCGTTTGATTTCGTCGATTTGTCTTCCGTTCGAGCTATCGATTCGATTTCGGCAAAATCCACGTCCGTACTATGAAGTTAATAGCATTTAGAATAGATTTAATGGTTTGGATCGTTATATGTGTTTATGCTATAATTTGGCTAATTGGTGAATTGAATTAAATTGATTGTTTGAATTGAATTGTTGAGGATTGTGAATTGACTGAACAGGTTTGACTTTGACTTGGACTTTGACTGGATGTTCTGTTGTCGTAGGTTTGACCGAATGGTTAAATCCAAAACTTTAATGAATTAGTTAAGTTAATTAATTAATTCTAATCGGTGATTAAGGTCAATTGGTTTATTGTGTCGATCATAGAAACTGGCCATTGCTCGGGCGGCTGCAGGGCCTGGTCAGTGAGGTTAAGACGTGCGCACGAGGGTCTGCGATCATGGGTTTGAGGCCATCGCCCGAGGGATCCTACCTCCACCGAATTGAGGCTATCTTCGGTATTACGGATTGAGGCTATCTCCGTCATAGGCATTAAATGTTAAGTGGTTTGACTTTGGTGAAAGTCTAAATTGGTTTGACCGGTGGTCAAAGAGTTCATGAGAAACCCGTAACACCTAAATCGTTTTGAAAAGAAAGAAAATAAGTTGACTGTTGGTCAACCGTCTAAAGAACCGAATGTAAAGTTGAATTGATTTTTATTAAAAGGATAAACATATGCACGATCTTAATTGTTGAATTATTATGTTTATTCTTGTGCTACAATGGAGTACCACTCAGCGTCAATGCTGAGCGGATAGCGTTGTTTTC